TATAAGGCACCCCAAAGTCCCCACCCAGCCTTGGCACCCATCTGATTTGTGACTCTTGGCCATCCTTCATTCTGTTCGATCACTTCACCTGTGACTACTTCACTATGTATCTCTAACAGATATAGATTTTTATTTCATTTGGGTGTTTCGAGGCAGTGTTTCCCTATGCAGTCCAGGCTAACTTTGAACTCATAACCTAGGCTAGGCTCAAACCTGCGATCCTCCTCCCTCAGCCTCCTGGGTGCTGAGATTATAGTTATATGCCATCATGGCCAGCTAAAGTTGGTTTTTTTTTTTTATGTATTTGGTACAGGGTCTCACTAGACTCATGATGCTCCTCTTGTCTCAGCCTCCCCAGCAGTGGGATTACAGGCATGCTCCACCATGCCAGATCTTGGTGGCTCACTCAGCACGCCTCAGGGTGAGGCCAGTGTGGCATGTGGTGCCAGGGATCAAACCTGGGTCCCTGCGCTTGCCTAAGCAGGCACTTAGACCGCTGAGCTATCTACCAGCCCCTAGATATAGATTTTATTATATTTTTATTTTACTTATTTAGTGCTACTAAGGGTTGAACCCACAGCTTTTACACTGAGCCCATCCCCAGGCCTTTTTATTTTTCATTTGAAGCAGGGCTTTAATAAATCACTAAGATGTTCAGGCCAAATTGTACTTGAGATCCTCCTGTCTCTGCCTCACAGACTGCTGGGATTACAGATATGTACTACCACACTCATCTTAGATTTTATACTTAAGTATAACTAAATATTATGTTTAAAACTTAACAGTATGGGGCTGGCCAAATAGCTCAGTGGATTAAAGCACCTACAAGCAGATAAAGGAGCCCAGGGTTCGATCCCAGGGCCTGCCATGCTAGCTACATCCCTGGGGCAGGCTGAGATTCAATTGAGACTGGGAGTGGTGGCACGCACCTGTAATCCCAGCTCTTGGGAGGCTGTAAACAGGCGGATCACTATGAGTCCCATCTAATAGTGAGATCCTGAACACCCTGTAGACCCTTCCCTAAAAATACAATAAATAAAACTTAACAGTATTGGCTGGTGTGGTGGCACATGCCTGTGATCACGACACTCAGGAGACCAAGGCAGGAAGCCAGCCTAGGTTACACAGGGAATTCAAGGCCATCATGAACTTCATAGCAAGACTCTGTCTTAAAACACAAAAAGAAAGAAGAAAAAAAAACTGAGTAATTTCATCCAGTGTCCAGCAGCAGAGCGGATCCTGGAAGGCACACAGGCCTGGCTTTGTTTGCTCTGTGTCTTAGATCTCCAGGTTTTCCAGCTTCATGGGTGAGAACAGGAAGGGAGCAGGGAAGGGAGAGCTGGGTCTGGGGGCTACGGGAATAGGAAGAAGAAGGTGGCCCCAACTTTCCTTGGAGCAGTAGATGAGAGAAGCCAGGGGGCAAAGAAGGAAGAGGAGGAGGTAAGAGAAGGAAAGGCAGTGGGAAAGAGGAACCCAGAAGAGAAAGAGAGAAGAGACATTGAGGAAACAAGGGTGCCATAGAAATCTGCAGGTCATTCCAGGCATGGGGCCGGGCAGGCGCTGAAGCCCCTGTGCTTAAGAAGGATTCATGACAAGATGAATCGCTGGTGGGATGCAGTATCTGACATGGACTGTAAAGGAGCCTTTATTAAATACTTCACCAAGCAATAAGGAGTTTCTTTTATCCCCTCTCTCTCTCTCCAACCCTTTCTTCTCTGGAGACCGAACCCAGGGTCTTTTCACTGAGCTACATCCCCATCCCTTTTTGTCATTTTTATGTTGAGACAGGGTCTCACCAAGTTCCCAGGTTGTGCAGACGGGCTCAGCCTTTGGGCTTCTCCTGGTTCAGCCTCCCAGAGTGCTGGGGATACAGACATGTGCCACACTGGGCAAGGAATTCTCTTTTCTTTTTGGTACTGGAAATCGAACCCAGGACCTTGCACTTGCCAGTCAGGTGCTTATGCTGCTGAGCTATCTCTCGGGTCGTAAGGAATTCTCTTGAACCAAAATGAAACCCTAGAAACACCTTGAGTGAAGCTATAAAAAAGAACCAGATGGCAAAGATGGGAATTGAAAATACAACAGGGCTGGTGAGATGGCTCAGTGGTCTAAAGCACCTACTTAGAACAAGCTAAGCTAAGCTAAGTAAAGCACAGGGACTGCAGTTCAATCCCCCAGCACCACATGCCAGCCAACCCCGCCCCCTGGTGGGCTGAGCTGGACACACACACACCCACACACACACACACAAATAAATAAATAAATAAATAAATAAATAAATAAATAAATTTAAAAAAGAAAAATACAACAATTCCCCAACTCCTGACCCTCCGGGGCAAAAGGCTCCCAGCATCGTCTTTCCTCACCCAAAGCACATGTTTTTTTTCCTGGGCACCTTGATGCTGGGTGGGGGTGCAGGTCTGTGTAAGAAAACAACAAATAGGCTCAGCTACTCTGGGGAACATGGGCTGGGTGTCCCCTAACCCAATTTAGTTCTGTGCTGCCTCCCTAGAAAGGGTGCCAGACCTGAAGATGAGGGCTCTGTCCCCATGACTGGGCCACCACGCCCAGTCCCAGTCACTATCTCAGTGTGCCCTGGGGGCAGGGCTGGCACAGCACACCAGGGATCGAACCCTGGCCCCTGCGCCTGCTTAGGCACTTTAGTCTGCTGAGCTGTCTGGTTGGCCCCTTTTATGGACATTTGGTTGGATGCAGACTTACCTACCAACCTGCGCTTGCAGCAAGGATGCGTGGTCCCATACCTCACCATTCACTGTCCTGTGGGCTGCTTTATATTTGCTTCCCAGCCTGCCTTGCAGCTGGCCAGTGGCCCCAGGAATCAGTCCTGGCTCTTGGGATTTTTTTTTTTTTTCTGTACTGGAGATTGAACTCCGGACCCTGTGCTTGCCAGGCAAGCACTTATTCTACTAAGCTATCTCCCCGGCCCTGTCAGGTTTAAGGAAGATCTGACCTGACTTTTCTGATATGCTCCCCACTCTTAGCTTGGGCCCCAGCAGAGACCAGGCATGAGACAGACATCCAGGGAATTGAAACACAGCTCAGGTGGGCAGTACAGGCTGGGGATGACATGATTCCCTTTGGATTTGTTAATGGAGAAAAAGAAATCCTATTTATTGAGGCTGCCTCATCCCACAGACCTCCAAGGCTCTTAGAGTGTTTTGTTTGTTTGTTTTTTTGTTTTCCTGCACTAGTAGCGATTGAACCTAGGAGCCTTCTCATGGAGCCGCAGACCCAGCCCTTCTCATTTTTCATTTAGAGGCAGTGTCTTGCTAGGTCACTAAGTTATCTAGACTGTGCTCCAACTTGCCATCTTTCTGTTTCAGCCTCCCAACATGCTGGGACTATAGGTATGCGCCACTGCATCGGGTGTGCAGATATTTTTGACCGTCAGACCAGGGGGCGGCCACTGGCCTCTCTAGTGGGTGTAGACCAGGGATGCTGCCAAATGTCCTAGCACAGCCCGTGTGGGGGGAGGGAACTTCTTATACAATACAACACTATGTGCTCGATCCCAGGTGCCAGATGTGCTAAAGGTGAGACACCCTGACTTACGCCAGTGGTTTTGGCTGTTTTGAGACAGGCTCTAGCTAGAACTCACGATGTCATGTAGGCTGGCCTTGAACTCTCGGCAACCCTCCTGCCTCAGCCTGGTGAGTGCTGGGATTACAGGCATGTGTCACCACACTTGACCCCCAGCGTAGATGGCAGGGTGAAGCCAAGGAGACATGTAGGGTACCTTGAAAGAGACTAGAAGCTGCCAGGACAGTCAGACAGGCCTCCCACCCCTCCTGTGGTTCCCTTGTGGGACTGTTCCCCAGGATACCAGGACGCAACTTCTGATACAAACCAACTCCGCTTTAATGTAGAAAACAAACCTCATGTACATAAATATAATTTTGGGGTATAAATAAAGTAAGAAAATAAGAGATGTACATATCAAAATAAATTACTCATAAATATCCTGTTGGAAACTTAAGTGCTGGGGAAAGATTCTGACCCTTCCCCTGCTGTATCCACGAGTTGTTGGCAAGACTTGGGGCTGTCGAACGTTTTTCTTTTCTGGTTTCAAATGGGGGTTGTGAGCTGATTGAATGTGGTGGCTGGGGAGCCCTTGCCCACAGTGACTGGGGATGGGGTGAGGGCTGGACAGGGTCGGGAGGAGGGCAGGTGGTAACAGGTGATCTGTTCTTGATTCACCCTGCAGTGAGCCACAGCTCCAAGACAGCAGCACTCTGAGGTGACCACATTGGGAAGGAGTGACCCAGGCAGGGAATCTAAGTCCCATGGTCCAGTTGTGCTCCTGGAACTGTCTTCACTACCCATCCCTCTTAGTGTCACCCACCCAAGGACATCAGCCGTGAGCCTGGCTCTGGCCATCTAGAAGTGAGGAAGCTGGTGACCATCTTATCTTCTGGGGGCAGATGGCCACCTGAGTTTATCCCCCAGAACCAGGCCCAGGAACAGCTCAAGAGGTCCCCTGTTGGGGAGGGCTTCAGACCTTCCTTGATCCCGAAGCTTGGCTGTCCCTCTTGCCAGGAAGCGTGTGGGGTTAGTCCTGCATCAGTTCTCACCTGGTGAGTCTAAGTACCCAATGTTTCATAGATTTCATCGCTGGGTGTAAATGTAAAAATGACTGCTTCTACCCAGTGGCCCCTGCTGGAAATGACAGAAAGAATTATAGAGGTTCAGTTCAGCATTAGGAATTTTCCCAAAGGGAATGAGTTCCCCATCAGTGGAGGTATTCAAGGAGAACTAGAGTAGCACAGACTGGATCAGCAACCAAGGTACCTCTGGGAGGGGCTTGGATAGCAGCCAAGCAGGTAAAGGCCTAGAACTTCGTGATCAGATGAGTCTACCCGCTAGAAACTGGCACAGCCAATATAAAACTCAGAATATGTACAACTCCTAAGGTTTCCTCCTAAAGCTAAACCAAACAGGATCTCAGGACTGTTTCCGCGGAAGCACCCTCAGAGCCCTGGTCACTTCTGAAAGCTAGGACTCTTTACCAGCCCAACCTCACTGGCCATCCCAAATGGGTCCATGCTGTCGGTCTTCAAGGGCATTGAGAACACATGGGATTCCTCATTGTCGCTGGGCTCCACTGAGGCCTTGGGCAGCATGGGCAGGAAGTAGGACAAGGGCAGCACCCCCTTGCTCTGGTACTGCTGTCTCTGCTTCACACTGCTCAGAACGATGGGGAGATGATGCTTCTGGGAGCGGTATATGCTGTAGCCAGGGTAGCTGATCTCCTCCTTAAAGGCGCAGTCTTCTTCAGAGTACCAGGACTGTGGGGGTCAGAGAGTGTGAACACCATGGGGAACAGAAAACATCACACCCTGATGCCAACTGTCCCTCAGGTCCACCAACTGTCCTGGAAGCCACCATTAGTGGATTTCCATCACTTGTATTTGCTTTGTAAATATATATATATATATATATATATATATATATCAACCTTTACTATGCGTATGTACATATGTAATCATATTAAGGCACAATAGTGCATGAATACAGTAAATATAGTTTACTTCTTTATAAATGCTTTCTAATTTTTATAGCTATATATTCCTTCTGCATAGTTACTTAGTACCTATATATACTTAATGTTATGTCTTGGTGTTTCCCACTAAATCATTTCGACATTTTCAGCTTTGCCTTGTCCAGAGTAATAAAACCATGGGCACAACACATTTCTCCCAACTCGTACTATTTACATTTAAAAAACTCATCACATTCCACCAACGCATTGGGAAACTGACCAAACACAGGACCATTTTAGGTTCGGTCTTCTAATTCAGAATCACAGATGCCTCTATCCGGTCCGGGCTAGGGTTAGGGCATCTATTTGCCAGCATCTAGAGCGGCAGTAATTGGGAGGCTTTCTAAGCAGCAGCCCCCTCCGGCTCCTTCATTCACCGCAGGAGCTTACCCTCCTCCGAGAGCAGCCCGGCAGCAACAGAGAGATAATCCGCTGCCCCCTCCCCCAGCCCAGCTCCCCAGCAGGGAGCCACAAATGTGTAGGGCAGGAAATGCCCCTTCTCCCCTGAGCATTCCTAGTCCTCAGTCTTGAGAAGTGCAGTGGGGGAGTTCTACCCCAAACTGGTGTCATTACCCACTGGGGCTAAGGCGAGAGGCTAGGCTCCGAGCTGGGACACCAGCTGCTCGGTAAACACGGCCCCACATCTGCAAGTCTACAAAGGTCACTGAACTGCAGGTGGGTGAGTTCTGTGCTGATAAGGCACTGATAAGTATAATTGCAAGGACCCGTTGCTCCTGCCCCGGCCAATAGCACATCAGGCCATTGGGGACAGTTCTCTCTGCATTTCACAGAGAAAATCACGAGAAATATTTCACTCTGTGGGCTTTGGAGGAGAAATTGGTGTCATCCTTTCTCCATACAGAAAATGGAATCCATTTGGAGTTTCTAGGGAAAAAAAAAATGCATCATGCCTATATTAAAAAATTAAAAAGCAGAAAGTCCTTAAATTGTGCTAGACTGGCCAAGGGACCAAGAGCAAAAAAGGACTTTAGTGAGCAGCTCCTCCAGGCTCCCCACGATCTGCATGAGGGGGGTTTACACCCAGTTTCTGCAGGGCCCTCTCACCCTGAGTGTCCCAGTAAATGTCAACATAACAAAAGTGACAAAGGCAGGTTTGGAGTGCTTTGGGTCAGCTTGCAGCAAGCAGACCCCCCCCCCCATTTTTTACCATCTTTTTAGGTGGATAAATGGAATAAGCGGATGGTACAGACAAAAAACAATTTTGAGACTCTAAGATGCAGAGTCCTGGGGACATCTGCAATTGGGGGTGGGGTCCCTGCAGGTGCCCACACACATCCCAGCCCTCCCCCCTTCCTCCCAGGGAGCCCTTGGCTGTGTGGGAGGGCTGGCCTCCGGGGACCTCACACAGCCTCTTCTAAACACAGTTCCTTTGAACTCACAGCCTTTGTTCAGCCCCAGAGCCCCCAGCATCCACACACTTCCAGCCTAAGCTGTCAGTAGTTACCTGGGCCTTCGCAGCTCATCCTCCCAGCCCCATCAATCCCTATCCCCAAGCGTCTCAGTATAGGTGAGCTGTTGGGGGCGGGGCACAGTAATGAAGTATTATTCTAATACATCTGCATCTTACACCACGCTTCTTTTATCTGGTACAAAAAAATTAAGAAGAGGCTGAGGCAGGAGGATGGAAAGTTCAAGCCCAGCCTGGGCAATTGATTGATATCCCTGTCTCGAAATTTAAAAATTGGGGGCTGGTGTTGTAGTCCAATGCATAGACCCTGGGTTCAATTCCCAGGACCAAAACCCAAACCAACCAAAGAAAAAAAGAAAAGGAACCTTGACAATCTCAGTGGTTTTTCGCTTTCGAATTTAATAATCTTCTTTAAGAAGACACAATTTATGGATCAGAGAGGACCACATGCAAAGCTCAGGCTGAAAGGGGACGAGGTGAGTTTTCCTGTTTAATATTAAAGGAAGCCGCATAATGGGTCTTCTCAGCCCGCCGGCGCCCTTTGGCTCAATTGCGAATGCCTGACTACTCTCACCCATTCTCGGGATCGGACCGTAAATTCCCATGTTGGGGGACTGGTATCCAAACAGCAGTTTAAGTGACCCTGAAAGCTTTCCCTCGAAGCTGCACACAGGTTTGTGCAGAGGTAGGAGAAAACCCACGCTGGGTGCATCCATGCCCCGTGCGGACACTTACCAGCCCCAGCATCCTGCCGTCGGGGCCCATGCACAGGTACCGGACGCTGTTTATGTCCTTGATGGCCACGGTCTCCAGAGCGACTGCTCTGATCTCCAGCAAACCTGAGTACAAGGGAAGCAAGAAGCTGCAGCCCGGCTGGGGACCCACAACACGTGGGTGCACTCATTCGAACGCCTGCGCTCCCCGTGTTGTCTGGGGACCAGGGAGAGATGGTAACACCAGGGTACCAAAAGCTGGGGTTCCTGGGAGACCCGGGGGTTTCCACGGGAGCTGAGGAAGGGCTAAGGGAGGAAGCGCGGCGGGGAAGGTGCCGGGACCTGCGGCACTCACAGTGCTCGCTCTGTTCCTCGACGCAGTCCACCACGCCGTCCGTGTGAATGCGCAGGAAGCAGCGCGAGCGACCGTAGGGGCCCGCGGCATACAGGTGCCGAAGGCGGATCGGCTGGTCCCAGCCGTAATACACGTGCGGTCCCTGGTCCGACTGAGCGAGAGACCGCCGGGCCAGAGGCCGCCCAGCCACCACTAGCCACAGGCAGGCCAGGATCAGGGTGCGGACCATCGCACATCCGCTCGGCGCACTCCGCATGGCACGTCCTGGGACTCGGGGAGATAGCGATGCGCGGCAGGGCTGTGGCACCTGGGCGCGGTGCCCTCGAGCAGACCGTGAGCTAGAGGCTCCTGGGCACACTGTGCTCCTGCTCCTACGGCTCCGTGGCGAGAGCCTGCAGCCTTATATAGCTTGCCCAGCCAGCCCCGCGGGTAGGTGTCTTGGATCCCTGAGCCTTTCTCATCAGGATTGCATCAAGCCTCCGCCCCCTGCACTCACCCTCTCCTATCCAGCCTTATGACCTAGCCGGGGCAGGTGGGCGGTGGCTCCTACTCCCCGCCCGTTTGACCCCGCCCACGCTACCCAGACCCGGGAGAGGGAGGCTGCCCAATGTGCTACCAGCCCCAGAGAGCTAATCTGCCTGACGCTGCAGCCTGGCGGCTCTGGGTTGTGTGAGTTTAATTTCGCAAAGCAGTGGACAACTGAAGTCCCTTTCCAGTTTCCCTAAGGATGCCCTTGAAGTGCGGCCTTAGCTGGGGCGGAGGGACCGGAACTCGAGACTAGAGATTAGGGGGTGTGGAGCCTTGTTTCCTTCGTCCCACCGCCGGCTCTAATGATCCTAGAAGACCCCATTCCTTGCCTCCAAGAGTCCCACCCTGCCTATCTGTCTCCTGCTGTCTGCTACAATTTTCCCCTGCACCTTGGACTTTCTCAGGTTCTCTTAAGTTTTATTTTCTGGCGATCCCAGCACCACCGCGGTCCCGCCGGCTCCTTGCCCCCCGCCTCCCCTTTATCTTGCTAAACTGCCCCCCGGACTTGATCACCGGTTGCGGACCCACAATGCGGGCGCAGCGCGTAGGGAGGCCGCGAGGTGGCGCTTCAGCCTAAATTTCGGCCCCTCGTGCGGCGCACCCTGCGCGTCGCCTTTGCAGCCTGGAAGGGCGGAGGTTTGGGAAAGCGACTTTCGGGCTGGGTGGGCTGGCCAGCTGTGGCGTCGGTGAACTCTGATTCCCCGCTCTGGCCGCAGCTCCTTTGTTTTTGAGGTGCTGTGCATCGGAGGCTCGGCCTTGGAGGCCCTACACTCGGGGTCCGGGAGCCGGGCGGTCTGGGAGGTCGGGCGCGCCCGCCCCGGCGGGCCGGGAGAGGGGGGCCTCGGTGAAGCGGCGCCTGCAGAGAAGGAGAATGCCCTGGCGGGGCAGAAAGGAGTCCTCCCAGGGGGCTCGGGCTTAACTCGGGTCCTTGCCCATTGTGCCTCCAACCCCCGGCTCCTGGCTGTGGGGGAAGAGCGCATGGCCCGCGCAAAGGCGGTGGGGAGGGCAAAGCCGAGACGCCGCGGAGATGCCAGGCCTAATGAATTTCAATGAGCAAAGGCCACATTCATACCCCGTCAGTGACTGGCGTTAATGACGGAGCGCGCAGAGAATGTCACCAGGAAAGCCTTTAGAAAAAGACATCATCCCCTAGGCTTTCTGGACCAGGGACTCCCACGCTGTGCGTCTCGGTTCAGAAAGCCGTGGCTTCTGTTAAATCTAATTACTTCCCCCCTGTGGCTTTCAATCGACGGCGGCTCCTATTAAACTTAATTACCCTCCCCTGCAGCTTTCGTTTTAAAGTCCATGATAAATGCGGGGTGCTGAGGATGGCAGCGGCTGCACTGGCGGACGCGCCCCTAATCGGGCAGGGGGGAGGCGAGGTGGCAGCATCCAGACCCCCTCCCCCCGCGCTTCCCAGCCCTCTCTGCTTTCTGGGGAAGTGGCGGAAAGGGATTGAGGGTGGCGACCGAGGAACCCCAGGCAATGCCTCGGGAGAGGTCTAAACCCCGGGGCTATGTTCTCAGTTTAGAACCATCCCCCCCTCCAGCATTTCATTTTCCCCATTGAATGGGTGGAAAATAGGGGCCCCAGAAAAGTGGCAGCGTGACCCAAGTCCATATAATCTGCAAGAAGTGGAGTTGGACTTTAAACTCAGACCGTGTGCTTGTAAACCCTGGCTGTTCTGCCTCCCCGAGAGTGAATATGGCCTTGTCTTGGGGTTCCCGGGGCAGACCTGCTGCATCGCGGGGATCTTCACCTGCTCCCTGCGCAGGCCAGGAACCTCTAAGGCTGTGGCCCCGGATGCGTTCAGTCTCTCGGGTCACGAAGACGAGTGGACAGAAGTGACGGGGAGTCATTCATGAGTGATGACGGCAGTCCTGAGGATCGGCTCGGTACCGGCTATGCCACAGTCCGGGCAGTGCTGAAAGCCTTAAGGCTATGAATCCTGGCACATGTGAGGAGAGGGAGACTTGCGGAGATAGACAAGACAGACAGACAGACAGACAGACAGACAGACAGACAGACAAGACAGACAGACAGACAGACAGACAGACAGACAGACAGACAGACAGACAGACAGACAAGCGGCGTGGAAGGTTGGGTGTAGTACAGAGGTTTGAGCATCTACTGGTGTCTCCTGCTTGGGTCGCAGAACGAGAACACCACAGTGGCCAGCAGGCGGCGCTGTAGTCACCTGTCGGGCCTACTAGCTGAGTGCTGGGGGTGCATCAGGTGCAGACCGCCCTGCAAAGGGCTCAGTCATATGTAGGTCTTTGAAGCCCCAACTGCTGTCTCCTGGCTCTGATTTTTCAGGTTGCATTTGCTTCAAGTAGCTCAGTGGGCTGGTTCTCCACCTGAGGACATTTTATCTACTGAGCCACATTGCCCACCATTTGTGGCCACTGCCACCACCTGCAGTGTAGTCCGAGGCCCACATGACCAGGGGGGCTTGGTTTGGTGCCTTTGTTCTGGATTTCATATATATA